TCACTTTGAAATTATGACAAAACCATCTACCCATCAGGAGAGAGAGCTATGACAACACCGCATTCCTTTTCTACTTTCCTTATCCTAGCAACTGCCTTGCTTTATGTTCTCGTGATGCAGAGAGAGACCTGGAGTGAGTGAGTGTGTGAATGTGTGTGTGTGTGTATGTATGTGTGTGTGTGTGGACTGTTTTATGAAGATGTCACAAAAATCAGTAGACTTAGTTTGTGGAGATGATGCCCATTTTTCATTGGCTCCTGAATTACACAAGTTAGAGTTAGGAACAAAATTTTAAGTTTTCTAGAAAAACAGGATTTTGGATATGGGAGGCTTTTCTATACTAATCTTATTTTCAGTACTAAAATAACCATTATTAACTGCAAATTAATATGAAATTATAGTTTCCAGCAATAAGAGAATAAATTTTTTCACCTTTCTCATCAAATGACACTATACGTGATATCCCTTAATGATAGTATTCTGGGAAAATCCTGTCCTGCATTTTAGAGCCATTTTTAACAGGTATTTGGAAGGCTTTGGGGGAGAGCTCAAGCAAGTCCCTGCTTTCACTCCACCATCTTGGCCTGCATTTTAAAAGCCATAACAACACAGTATATCCTGAAGGGTAGTATGGTATACTAGATGAAGAGTCAGCCTCGTAGAGGCAGAAGGACCTAGATTCAAGTGTGGCCTCTGTCACATGACGTTGGGCAAGTCACTGAGCCTGTCTTTAAGACAACAAGTTACAAAGCAGGTACCAACGTACCTGGGTGGGAGAAGGAATTTTGTCACTAGATGTTCTTTATACCACTGAAATCTCAGTTCTGATCCTCCACCTGCTCCCTTGAAAGACTTTACTTAGCTTTTGTAGACTGAGTTAAGTGTAATCCTCGAGCTAGCATGAAGTAGTGCCTTGGAAGAACCACTGTAAGCCAGTAAAAACATGTTTTCTTAACTCCTCTCTGCTATTTGATGTAGCACTCATTTATGACTGTTCATTCGAAGGTGGAAGGGATTGTCCCTCTTAATGTCGTGTCTATTAAATGATCAGCCATGGATTCTGTTGGGAGGCCCTTCGGGTCAGGCAGTTTTCTCCGGTCTTGCTAGGTTAGGGGATGATGCTATCAGCAGGAGGCCTGCATGGGCACGACGCAGTTCCTTTTCTAACCATCCCATTCTTCACTATGGAGGAATTCAGATAAGGCTGGGGGAAAGGAGGCAGGCCTTTCATCTTCCAAGAAACGTGTTTTGGGCCTGGCAGCAATTGTAGGTTTCCTTTTTTCTTGTCCTCAGGCCACATAAGAGAAACTGGACAGATAATACATTTATAACTATGATAGAAATGGGTGACATTGGGGTGAGGGGGTTAAGCAATCAGGATGCCTCTGGACTGGGAGCTGCTCTAGGTATGGCATCCCTAGAGGATGGCCTCAGTCATGGGGAGGGCCCTGAGAGAACCCTGTTAGGAGGCATGGGGCCTGCTGTGCAGGTTTCCCTCCCCCTTTATCTAAATCTCCTCTTCTGTGCCTGTGATAGACTTCGGGGAACAGGATAACTGTTTGGTATTTTATGGCAATCAAACTTGTTCTGCTTTAAGGACAGGAAAAGAAGTGAGTAGAAATGACTCCAGGGTGCATTTAAGGGAAAACTTCTGAAAGGTGAAATAGTGCTGTCTAAAGTGGGAGGACTGGGAAGGAGGGGTGCGGGCTGCTTTGCCAGGAGTTCAGGCTGCTGAGGGGATGACGAGCACCAGGGATTCTCCTCTCTGCACTTGGACATGGAGGCAGCAGCTGGCTCAGAGATGACCAGGAAAGGCTCCACAGTCTCTGCAAAGATTACCCTTTACTGATTGAGTTTTCCTGCTCTCGAGCCATTTGATAAGAATTATACTTTAAGACCTAGCTCACTGAACTGAAAATTGGTGAGAGTTTTGGATTCTAGAAACAATCACTATTAAAAATTACACCAAGAGTCATCACATAAAGCACTGGTCCTCATACTTTATTCGTTCCACAAACCTCCGTGGGCCCCTGTCATAGCTGTCTTTTATATATGAGCCGTCCACCCAAAACCTGGAAAAACTGTTATTAATGTTCTGTAGAATCTTAATATAGCTCTCGGTTTTTCACATCTTACTTGGTGTTGGCATATGTTTTGTGATGGTGTATTTTTGATATTTGAGACAGGAAGGGGAGTCCGATAGGACAACAGAAGGTTAAGGAGCTTTGCTACAGCCGATGACATTCTTCTCATTCACATCATTGTGGTACAAATATACAATCAGTTTGTTTTTATTTTCATATAGCAAATGACTATGTGGATGACAGGAATTAGATACTGTATAGGACTATTTATCATATAAGTTTGTTGTGTCCCAACAGAGAAAGCATTGTTTCTTTGATCTGTTAGCTGAGATATAAAAGTTACTTTGTTATGTAGAATTATTCTTTGTTTTCATTTAATGGACTTTTTTCTTGTTTGTTTTTTAAGTGAAGCCTAAACTTGGTGAATCATAGCACCTGGAATGGTGCTAGGTCTAGATCAGTAGTAAATAGTCATTTATTTTTGAGTATCTGCTGTGTGCACTGCCTCCTGCTGGGGACTACAGTGAAGCATAGAGAAGTGTAAGAGACCATCCTTGCCTTCAAAAAGCTTACAGTTTAATTAGGGAGATTAAAATGTACTCATGAAATGATAACTAATAGTACAAGATATGGTAAGACCCAAGGGAGTCCTGTATAGATAAATGCCACAGGAACTGTTCAGAGGAGGGAGGAATTGTTTTGCCCTGAGGTGACTAAGGAAGGTTTCATTGGGGAGGGACTTGAATTGGATTTTGGAATTTGAGAGGATTTAGACAGAGTGGAAAGAGGAGAGCTCTTTGGGCAAGAGAAGAAAGGTATGAGTAATAGATCCAGCTGGAAAGAGTTAGTTGAAAGTAAAACTGGCCTTCTGAAAGAGCTTCAGGATTGAGATGTAGATTTAGGAATCTCATATGTAGGTATGTGGGGATGATCAGGTAAGATCATTAAGGAAGAAAATAGAAAGTGCCACTGGACAGAGCCAAAGACGTGGTCATCAGTCTTCCCGTCATCTTTATCTTCTTTATTTAGACACACTGCAGCATGGATCAAGAGACCCCTGATGGGTATCCTCAGGGCAGGGGACACTAGCTGTTTTCTTTTGCTTGGTCACATCAGTGATGTAGACTGAGCTTATTGTCCTGCTCTCTGACAGTATCTCTAATTCCTGTAAATACTTCCTCCCACTTCCAGTCAGCCATAGTACTTTATAGGAACCGTTGCAGTTATTATGTTCTCTAGCTGTTAGGAAGCCCCGTGGTGCACAGAGCCCTGCGCTTGGAGTCAGGGAGTCTTGATTTCAAATGTGGTCTTAAGACACAGCTGTAAGACCCTGGGCAAGTCACTTAATCTGTTTGCCTCAACTTCTTCAACTGTATGATGAGGATACTAATAGCACCTACCCTGCAGGGTTGTGAAGATCAAATGGAACACTATTTGTAAAGTGCTTAGCATGTAACAGGCACGATCTAAATGCAAGTGTTATTACTATTCTACCATAGCTACTTGTAGCCATGTTTTCTGTCCTTTGCAATTTAAGTATTGCAATCCCCTTCAGTTCAGAGCTTGTTTGTATCCTTAAGCCTAAAACTGGCTTGCATGTTGCAGATGCTTAATTGTGTGGATGAATGGGAAACTTTTGAAGTTTAGAAAAGGAGCGTAATTAGATGAAATAAGTCGTTTATTATACTTAAATTGTCAGCAGTATTCAAGAACAATTGTAATGGAAAGAATGGAAATTGGGAGGTAGAAAAGTGGTTTCTGAAGTAAGTTAAGTTTGAGTAGATGAGTGTCTGGAGTAGGCTGGTAATTGTGAGATGAGAAAGGAAGAGATCAATGTAAGGGGCATCATGAAGGAAGGATAATAGGGCCCTCGGACTTTGGACCTAGAACTGGATGTAGTAACCAAGTAGATTTGGGTGGCAAGAGATGAGAAGGAGTCAAAGATGTCTTAAGAGTTTCACAAATGGGTGGTTTGGGGTGGACAGTTGCTTTAGGAGAGAAAGTGATGAATTTTCATGTGGTGGTCGAGTTTAAATTTGTCCAGTAGGAGTGTGGAACTGAAGCTTACGTAGAAGGGGGACACTGTAGTGATTAGCCAAGGCAACATTTGGAGCCATGAGGGTGAAGTCTGAAAGAGTGTGGAAGTAGAAGAATCATAGGACCGCCACCTCTCACACAAATCATAAATCAAGTGTACCACATTTCCTCAGGCCTTCTTCGTGAAGGAAGACAGGGCTCAGTTGGGGATGAAGCATCATGCACAGGGTGTTGTCTGCTCTCCTCTTCTTTTTCTTCCCACCAGGATACCTAAGACCTTAATAAATAATTCCTCAGTAAAGATCCTTCCCGCCATCTGCCTGAAATGTTGCTTTAGCTTCCTAGCCAGTTGGCTTACTTACCCTCTGTCTTCACTCCTTCCAATCCAATTCAGCAAGCATTTATTAAGCACCTTCTGTATGGTAGGCAGCAGGAAGCTAGGTGGTGCAGTGGTTAGAGTGCTGGGCCTGGGGTCAGGAAGATTTATCTTCCTGGGTTCAAACCGGGCCTCGGACACTTACTAGCTGGGTAACCCTGGCCAGGACCCAAAGGCAGGAGGTAGAAGGAGTAGCTACCAGGCCACTTTGACTGGCACAGAGAGTCCTTGAAAGGCACCAATAAAAAATGGAATGGTAGGTAGGGGTCAGATTGAGGAGGGTTGCGTTTCAGTCCATCCTTCTCACTACTGCTTGATAAATTATGCTCCTCGTTGGTTCAGAGACCTTCAGTGGCTAATAGCTCTTGAGTTCTTAGTATTCTGTATAGAACTAAAATAAATGTTTAGCAATTTATCACTAAGAAGTACTGAGGAAAAACAAAACACCCGATAGAATCTTCTTTAAATTAGTTTTCTTTTTTTTTTTTCTTTCTTTCTTTCAGGATTTAAATAAGCGTTTGTCCCTTCCTGCGGACATTAGAATCCCTGACGGTTATTTAGAAAAGCTGCAGATCAGTAGCCCTCCGTTTGACCAGCCGATGAGCCGGCGCTCTCGTAGAGCTTCCTTGGTGAGTTCTCGGAGGATCTCTTTCCCCAACAATGGTCACATCAGCCTCTGACTTCAAGGCAGACAGATTTCAAATCATAGTTGCATTTCAGCATTCTAGATCTTAGGAGATCTAGTGTGGGCTGGTGGAGAGATTGCTGGCTTTGGAGCCAGAGGCCTTGAGGCCAAGGACTACCTGCAGCACCTCATCACTCTGTGACGGGGAGTGTCACAGAACCTTTTCGGGGCAGCTCCCCAAAACCTCAGGTGGCAGAGAAGGTGCCCACCTGCCCTGTTAGCTGAATGGCCCTCTGAGCTGGATTATCTTTTGTGCAGCCTCTCTGGCCATTCTGGTTTGTTTAGGTTACTTGGCTGTGGTGACCAACTGTGTATGCACTGTTCCATTTCAGAAATTATACATATTGCTATTGATGTTATGTTTATGTTATGTTTAAAGTCTCTGGAATTTGAGAAATTTTCTTTGGGTCTTAATTTAAAATGGCTTATTCATTATGCACTGTTAAAGGCATATATTCGTATTTAGTTTCTGATTTTTCCCATTAACTTAGTAATGAAAGTGTACATATGTATGGGCTGTACTTTTTTCCCCAGAATCTGATTTGTATAAAACCTGATTACACCTTATAATGGGCATGTTCAAATGTGTATGCATATGTATTTTTCCCCCCAAGGAGATTTCATTTTAGCAGTGTGACCCAATATGAGTTTTATTAGAAATTCTGTACATCTAGAGCTCTTCCTGAGAAATCACGATTTTGAATTTGTATTCCATGGGGCTCAGCTTCTGTTCCTAGAGAACAGGCCCAGAGAAGGAACCAAGTTGAAGGTTTATAGAGTGGTTCCAAGCCTGCTTTCTGTTTTCTGATTTTGATGGAGGTGGCAAATTTAGACTAGAATAAGTTCTGTCACTAAATAAGTAATCAAAATTCCTTTTTGTGTGGAATCCAAGCCGAATTCCAGAATAAACAGCATGTACCAAAAGCTTCACCAATACAGTACAAAAAGATTTAGAATATGTTCTTTTTTTTTTAACCATAGCACACAGATATGAGTTTGTTTCCTTCTTCTAGCCTATGCTTTGTATTCTTTGTGGAGCCTAATAGAAGAGAATGGCTCAAGGTCTGGAATTAGGAGCATCAGACATTAATGTAGCGGGAGGGGGTGAATGCCCTCTGTAGCCTAAATATGCTTGGATACCAAGTGAAATCCATGGACTTAATAACCCTCCCCAGACCTCTCAAAGCTGAGTTGAATAGATATTTCTCTATGACATGGTTTTTTAAAAAAAAAAAAAAAATTTTATGATTTCTTATTCATTTCATATAAATTACTAGATTTCTTGAAATTATGCATCAGTTATTTCAGACACCACAGCTTTGACTAACATGTTTAAATGAAAGTTTGCCATGATTATGCTTTGTCTCCAGGAGAAAATAACACTGGATTTTCCCGTACCTGCTATGTGGGCTTTTCTGTCTTTGTCACTTATCCTATTTGCTGATGGTAGCTTGTTTTTTTAAGACTCTTTCTAGTGGTTGGACCCAAGAACTCAGCTTATCCTACCTATGACATCTAAATGCAACTAAACTTTTAAGAAATTTCTATGTAAACTTAATAACCAAAATTAAAAGCGAATAATCAAAAAGCATATGAAATACAGGTAGAAGAGCTGGAGCCGAATGACCCATTTCCAGACCATGCTGCCTGTGCTCTGGTCAATGTCCTCCTTCCTCCCCTTCCCTCTACCCCCAGAACCAAGAACTCTAGGATCCCCAGAACCAGCCTGGGCTCTGAGGGGAAAGCATGTGCTTTCTGGTCTGTAAGGAGACCTCCACTTGACTTCTCATGCCAGCTTTCCCCACCCTCCTTTGAGTTTCCCATCAGTTCATTTCTTTTCCCCCACTTCCACCCCTGTGAGATGTCAAGCTCCTGGAGAACATTACAGATGAGTTGCTGGTCTTCCGAAGTGCAGGAAATTTCCACATCGGTGAAATCGCATGAATAGATCAAAATATTTAATCATGTTAATATTTTATTTAGCCATTCTTCAAGTGTTGTACCTATAATTTGTTTTCCAATTTTAATAGCAGTTTTTTGTTATTGCAAATGGAGCCATTGAGAAGAATTTTGTACTTGGTATCTTATACTCACTAGAATAACAGAAGTAGAAAAAAGTGATAACGGTCCAAGGATAAAAGGGACCCTGGGGAAGCAGGCTCTCTCATCCATTGACGGTACTACTACAGCAAGCATGTTGGAAAGCAGCGATTCTCTGGCTAGTACTTTATCACCAAAAAAGTCATGAAAAGAAAAAACCAAGACCTGTTTCTACGGAATTGGGAAATTTTGGTTGCATTGGCAAATATCATGGCAAATTAGTTTTTTTTTTCTTATATTTGTTCAAGCCAACCACAGATTAAGAAACAGTCCTCAGTATTCACTGCCTCCTTCATTCCTGTCAAAATCATCTTGGAGCTTTTTATGTATAAGTCTCTTGTGTGTCTCGATAAGTGAATGTCCATATATTTGCTACGTTTTGTCATTGCGATAAAAGCTATTTCTCTTTCATTGCATTTCTTTTCGTTCTTGTTGCTGATATATAGAAGTACAGATTGTTTTTGTGGATTTATCTTCTATCATTACCGCTATATTTTACTAAATCTCTTGCTCTTGAACTTAGTAGTTTGTAATTACCCTCAGTCTCTTAGAGATACAGGGCAAAGAGACATCCTGGAACTTAATGTGGGTGTTAAATGGCGGTCAGCCTGACATCTTTCCACATCTGTTCTGCCAATGCAATCAAGGCAAGCACTTTTTAATTGTGTGCATAGTGTATCTTCCTGGGAGAATTAAACTTCTTTGTTCAAAAACGACAACAAAATCAAGTGTTTCCTGTGGACTATTTGAAGCTATGAGGGTGAAAAAAAAAGGAAGGAAAAATGATCTTAGCCACAAGGAGCTTACGTTCGTTCTGTCTGAGCAGAGATGCTCTGCTTTTTTATTTGTACCTTTCCATAGCAGATTCTTTTAAGAGCTTGCTGAGCTAAACTGAGTCGAGTTCTGGGTCATTGGCTGAGGTTGCAAACTCAGGTTGTTTCACAAACATTTCAGGATAAAGGAAGAATGTTCCCAATTTTCCAGTATGATCTGCTTAAACTGAAATGCCATCCAAAATGGTTCAGCAGAAAACATAAGCACAGCCTCCTAGCACTCCTCACGGTCTGGAAAGACTTCAACTATGGTCCTCTTACTGGACTCTGCTGGCCACAGAGTACTGAAACTTTCTAAGACCACCCTCTAAGGCCCAGGTGGGTGGCGATCTTTGGAGTTTTGCATCAGTATGCATCTTGGACTGTTTTTAAGATTTTGTGATTACCAGCTTGTTAGAGAGGCATTAACTAAAGAACAGAATGTCTCTAAGTGCCACAGTATGTCTGTAAATGCCACATGGTCGGGTTTCCTTTATGCTAAGTAGTTATAATTCAGAGTTGCTGTAAAGGTGATGCTTATTTGACTTTATAGTTTTTTTGTGATCATAGTATTTAAAATTTAAAAAGACCTTGTAAATCATAGGTTGAGAGGTCAGTCAGTTGTCAAGCATCTGTTAAATGCCTGCTATGAGGTGTCAGAGTCCTGAGGTAAGGAGAGAGAACATTGTAGGCATGAGACAGCCTGCATAGGCCCTGAGCTCCCTCTTAGGTGGTGTCCTCGATGGCTGGAAGAATTATGGTGTCCATGACTGAAACAGGAAAATGGATGTGACAGTGTGGTTTTGTATTGGCTATATAGAGTTTGAGGTATCTGTGAGGAGCCTCAGGGGGCAGAACTGGCACTCGGGATAAAAGACGAAGTGTGAGTCTGTATGTTTGGGAGTCGTCAGCTTAGAAGTGATGGTTGCATTCTTTTGAGAGTCGATGAGAACCAGCACACAGAGGGAAGACGAGAGGGTTCCCCCAGAACCTTGGTGTTGGCTATGGCTAGGACATGAATGTGAATGGTAATCTGGTCCAGAGCAATAGGTCAGGCAAGGAAAGGAGAGCCAAGACAGAGATAGTGTCTTCAACAGCACAGAATGCTGCAGAGATGTCCTGAAGATTGAGGACCCAGGAAAAAGCAGCTGGGGTTAGCCAGAAAGAATCACTAGGAACCTTTGAGAGAGCCGTTTCCATTTGGAGGTGGACACCCAATCACCAGAAGCAGAGAGGAAGCCAATTAAGTGGACCTGAGTTTTCTGGAAATTCGACTGTGAAAAAGAAAAGTGAAATAGGATCAATGAACAAATATTTGCCTCACATTTGCTCTGTGTGAGACACTTTGTATCCTCCCCCCCCTTTTTTCCCCAGCTGTTGTCTTCCCTCGTTAGACTGTTAACTCCTTGCAGGCAAGGGTGGCCTTTATATCCCCAGCTCTTAGCACAGTGCTTGGCACATAGTAGGCACTTAATCAGTGTTGATCTGCTGACCAAAATGAAACAGTCCCTGCTTCCAGAAGCTTCCGTTCTTTGGTGGGGGTAGCAGGAAGCTTTTTCAAGGAAAAAGATTTGCACTTGTTTCTGGGCAGCAAGCAAGGAGTCCGTGGATCAGGAGAGATGGAAAATCAGGGAGAGAGAAAGGAAGCTTAAAAAGGGGAATGAATCCTGGGCAGCCTGAGTGGAGGAGTAGGTGTTGGCTAGCAGAAAGTCCAAGCCCCTTCTTTGAGAAGCAGAAGGGTGGATCATGTGGAGGGCACTGGAATGTGGAATTGGGAGGACATTTCCTAGGAGAAAATGTTCTTTATTAAAATACTCAAGGTTTAACAGTGTGGTGCTGACAGAACTCAAATAGCAGGTGAAAACACAGGGCTGGAACTTCTGTGCCTCTGGTACCAGGGACTTTGTCCAAGATCAAGAGTTCTGAGTAATTTTAATAGGCTTTAACTTAGACTACTAAAACGATAGATTTAGAACATTAGTATGATTTGCTCTAGCTTCATGCCGAATATAAATGAAAGACTTAAAACTTT